ATCTCACTGAATTCTCATAACAACTCTACATTAAATTCAGTGACCTTGTTGAATTTATTTATTACTTCTAATAGTTCCCTTGTAGGTTTTTTGGGATTTTCTGTGTGTACAACCATGTCATCTGCAAATAATGACAGTTCTCTATCAATCCAATCTGCATCCTTTTTTGTTTGTTTGTTTGTTTGGAAACTGAGGATTAAACCCAGGTGCTCATTACCTCTGAGCTACACCCTCAGCCCTTTTCATTTTTTTTTTTTTTTTTGAGACAGTCTCAATAAGTTGCTGAGGCTGGCTTTGAACTTTCGATCCTTCTGCCTCAGCCTTACAAGGTGTGGGATTACAGGCCCAGCTTTTCTTGCTCTATTGCAGAGGCTACAAGTGCCAGTATAATAATGAATAGAAGGAGTGGTAGCAGGCATCCTTGTCTAATTCTTGATCTCAGGGAGAAAGCTTTCAATATTTTACCATTAAATACAATGTTTGTTGTGACTTTGGTTTATGCAGATCCTTTATCAGATGCAGGAATTCTATTCTCTTCTGAGTTTGCTAAATGTTTTGGATTTTTTCCCCCATGAATGGATGATGAATTGTATTTCTGGTTTTTCTTTGTGACCTCAGGAAAGTTACTTAAAGTGTAAACTGTACAATGACCTACTACTTTGGCACTAGAAATATCTGGCTTCAACTTCCAGCTGTATCGTTTTTGAGCTGTGACTCTGAGCAATTTAATTAAGTTTCCTCATATAGAAAAATAGAGATAATTATAGGAGTTCCCTCAGAGGACTCTGAGACTTTTTCTAAGTTCAAGAGCCCAAGAGGCCGGATTTGAACCAGGACTAGGGTTTGACATTCAAAGATCAGGAACTTGGCTCTCAGACACTCTGCAGAGGTGAATTGGTATTCCCCAAATCTTTCCATCCCTGCTCCCCACTCAGGATTTCTTGGAATACTGTTTTAAAACTTTTAAGACAGGTCTTACTAAGTCACACAAGGGCCTCGCTAGGTTGCTGAGGCTGGCTTCGAACTTGTGATCCTCCTGCATTAGCCTTCCGAGTCACCAGGATTATAGCCATGTACCACACTACTGGGCTCTTGGAATACTCACAATGTTCAGTAATGCATCTGAGCTTTCCCATCCATGTGGTGGCACTTGGCCTTCTCCCCCAGGACTAAAAGGCACAGATGTTGGAAGTGATAGCCAGTTACCCCTCATGGCCCCTGCCTGCTGCTCTTCATGCCCTTATGTGGTCCCCTGACTTTGAACCTGGGTGGGTTTGTGACACTGAACTAAGGGAATCAGCAGAAGTGAACTATATGCCTAGCGTAGCTTCAGTCTGGGCCTTCCAGAACACTTTGTAAGACTTGGCCCACGAAGCAAGAAGTCCTGCCATCCTAAGACCACCATGCTAGACAGGCCCCAGTTGAGAAGCACATTTTCCAATTCCAGTTGGGCTCAGCCTTCTCGTCTTCCCTTCCAAAGCACCACACGTGGGCATGAGGCTGACTTAGACCCTCTAGCCCAGCATGCCCACCACCTGATTCCACAGCTGCCCCAGGAAACCCACGGGAAAGAGTGAACCCTAGTCCTGTCCCAATTCCTGACCCGCAGGGTCATGAGATAGACTACATGCTTACTATTTGAAACCACTAAAGGTTTGTTCACTGTGCCATCCCGGAAAACTAGAATATTTACCGTATAGTTTTAGTTTTTAATCATGAAAACGCACTTAGCAAGCCTATCCGGTGCTCACCTGTCTTGATTGACCCTATTCTAACCACTGGCTATAACCAGATTCAAATAAATAATATTTAAGTATTAAGAAAAAAAAGGCACAGTGGGGCACCCCTGTACTCCCAGTGGCTAGGGAGGCTGAGGCAGGAGGATCTGTGTTGGGAGCCACAGCCAAGTCGGAATGGCCCCTGGCATTTTGCCAGAAGTAATGGTTGAGAGGGAGCCATTAAGATGATGATGGATTGATTCAATTGTATATTAGACCTTTACTGTCTGGTATAGGGCGGCTCTTGCTGCCTCAGGTGCCCTCTACTTTGGAGTTCCCGTTGAGTTCTTGCGGGGTTCCGAGAGTGAGTGCGGGCGCAGCCCGGTGGAGTGGGAGAGAGTTCCCTGGGAGTGTGCTTGGAGTGCTGGTGGAGTTCGGAATCCCCTGAGAACTCAACGGGAACTCCAAAGTAGCGGGCGCCGAGGCAGCAAGAGCCGCCCCATACCAGACAGTAAAGGTCTGATATACAATTGAATCAATCCAGCATCATCTTAATGGCTCGCCTCTCAACCATTACTTCTGGCAAAATGCCAGGGGCCATTCCGACTCGGCTGTGGCTCTCAACAGATCTGGAGCTCAAAGCCAGCCTCAGCAAAAGTGAGACACTAACCAACTCCTGAGACCCTATCTTTAAATAACATATAAAAAGGGCTGGGGATGTGGCTCAGTGGTGGAATGCCCCTGGGTTCAATCCCCGGTACCAAAAAAAATATATATATATAAATAAAATAAATAAGTAAGTAAATAAATGAAAGAAAAGAAAATAGCAAGAGAAGGCAATCATTTCAGTTTAAATTTTCTGCCTTGAATCTTCCTACTAAGAAAAAGGAGCAAAAACAGATAATCTTCATAGTAACCTATAATGTTACTACTAACATGTCTGATAGGCATTTTTTTTTTTTTTTTTTTTTTGGTGCTGGGGATGGGACCCTGGGCCTTATATGGGCCAAACACTGTACTACTCAGCTACATCCCCAGCTATTTTTTTTTTTTTTTTGGAGACAGGATCTTGCTAAGTTGCCCAAGCTCCAAGCTGGCCTCAAACTTTCCATCCTCCTGCCTCAGCCTCCTGAGTAGCTGGGATTACAGGCCTGCACCACTGGGTATGGCCCATGTTTTCTTTACTGCCTGTCATGCTGGGGATGGCACCCAGGCCTTGCATGTGCTGGGTAAATGCTGTACCACTAAGCTCTACCCCTAGCCCCTTTTCTTCCCTTCCTTACTGCTTGGTTCAAGCAGTGAATGCAATGACTGGTGGAAGAGATTTTAAAAAAGAAGAATTAAACCAGGCACTGTGGCTCCTTTCTGTAATCCCAGCTACTTGGGAGGGTGAAGCAGGAGCATCACAAGTTCAAGGCTGGCCTGGGGAACTTAGAGAGACCCTGTTTTTAAATTAAAAAATAAAACGGGCTGGAGATATAGCTGGGTTGCATCCACAGCACGGCAAAAAGAAAAATAAAAAATGACGGAGATGAGTCTGAATAGAGAGGTTTAACTATTCATCAAAAAGCCCGTAAGGATCTGAACTAAGGCACTTAGATGAGGAAGAGGCCAGGAGAGATGTTAAGGCAGTGGAACCCACAGGGTCTGACAGGAGGGCTCACATTCTGTACCTTTTGTGTGTCAAGCAAAGTAGAATGTAAGTTCCATGAGGACAGGGACGATGGATGTCTCCTTTGCTTACCATTGCATGCCAGGCCTGGCACGAGGTGGGTGACCGACAAATGTCCAAGAAATGAATGAAGAATGAATGAGAGTCTAGGATGTACTCAGTAATAAGAGTGCTGGCCTTGTATGCGAGAAACCCTAGGTTCCAATTCCAAGGCCACACACACACACAACACACACACCGAAAAAACCAAAAAAATAGAAAAATAAGATGAATGCATGAGATGGGCTTCATAAATCCTTTGAAGGTTTTACTCCTAACCAAGAGCAGGCTCAACAATCCCCAAAACCCAAAGGGGGAATGTTCTCTCTGATATGCGGATAACACACAATAAGGGGGGGGGAGGGAAATACAGAAGTGCTTTCTTTGGCTTAGACCAAGGGGACTGAAGGGAAGGGGGTGGGAATAGGAAAGACAGTGGAATGAACTGGACAGGACTTTCCTGTGTTCATATACGAATACGCGACCAGTGAAACTCCACATCATGCACAACCACAGAATGGGAAGTGATCCATGTACGTGTGATATGTTTAAATACACTCGATTGTCATGTATATCTAAAAAGAACGGGCTCAAGGGGTCAAGAACATCCACACCTTGAGGGCTCCTGTCCGCAGGGAATGGTTCTCAAGTGTGCCTTCTCTTGCTCTGTTCTACCTGCCTGTGCCCAACCATCCCCATGCTCAGATTCAGCCTGAGGCTTCTTGGGGCCTGGAGGAGGAGAGGCCCAGGAGTGCCAGCTATTCCCAACTCTGGGTCCAATGTGACTCGCAGGCTGAGTTAGCGCCACTCTTTCCACAACATCACTTCCTCTGCAGCGTGAGAAAAGAGGAAGAAAACTGGCTGAGTGACTCTCCTCTTCCCCCAGGGAAAGCACAAAGCTGTTGGAAACAATAAAAGCAGGCCCATGTAAAGGGGAGACTTTTGTCTGTACAGCCAGGGGTTGCTGCTCTGGTGACTTCCTGCAGGGACATTGGGCAGCTTTGCAGATAAATAAATGCTCACATTCAGAATGATCAGCCTAGAACACTTCCATGAGCCTTCTCTCCTCCCCAGGCTGTACTCAGATAATAAATCAAATTAGCATCCCGAACCTCCCGATTAGTGTCACTTGCTACCAGTCTCTTCTGCACACAGGGCGCACAGGATGAGAGTGTTCTCAGCTACAATCCAGCGATGCAGGATTGAGGCCTGTGGCCTTCTTGGATATCATGGGATGCTTCTAACGTGATGTGGCCTCAGGCTGAGGTCACAGGATCCTACTGGTCACTTCAGAGCAAGCTATAAAAGACGCAGCTGACAACCCAGCCTTGTAATCCAGATTGGGTTGTAACTGAGAGAAAATACACATTTTCATTTCTTGGTCAATAATCATAGGAACATAAGCCAAGCTAGACAACTGTCAGAAAGAGAGGGAGGAGGTGGGGAATGAGCCAGAGAGGAGAAGGAGGAGGAGGACAGATTATGGCAATAATCAGAAACAGAGAAGAAGCATTTTTCCTATCCCATGCTCTCCTAGTATAGGGAACTTAAACCACAGTAGTCAACAGATGTTGGATGTATCAGACTGGAAAGTTTACTTTCAGGTGATCCAAAGTGAAATTTGTCCTCATTTCAGATTACTGGATTAGTGACACAGAAGGGACAACTGGGGAGGTTTAGAAAACCCAGGGGGGTGGGGTGGGGATAACAGTGTGGTACCAAAATACATTCTATTGGCCCATCCAAATCGAAGAATGTTTTTTAATCTCATCCTCTTGGGCCACAGGAAGTGGCAGTCGGCATGGAGTACCAGTGGCAGCTCTCCAAATCACAGATGTGGTCCCACTGACCGGCATCACAGGGCTGTCCGTTGGAGTGGACGGCGGCCTTCCTTGAGATGTGACCTCACAGCTGGCGAGGGTTGCCACTCCGAAGCAAGCTGCACCGGGTGGTCCCTGAATTGAAAAATAACCACTGAGCTGTTAAGCCACGCTGTCCCACTCCAGGCTTGTCCCAGAGAAGCCAATGAACCCCGTCTGGCAGGTTCCCACTCCTCCCTCTTGAATTGCTTCAATTGCAGTTCCAGGCTGCCTGGCCCTGAGCAAAAGCAGAAAGGTGGGGGGAAATGGCTGAGACCAAGTAGCAGCTGCTTCAGGTATGTGCCCCGGCAAGTTCAAATGCTTGCCAGGCTGATTGGCTAGGAGGGAGGGGGGGACGAGGTTAATATATTTTTTCATAAAATTTCCTGTTACCTCCCAACACTCAAAAAACAAGTAAGTTTTTATAAGGGTAGGACAATCCTCGTAGAAGGAGCAATGGTTAGGACTTTCTCTAAAAATCACTTGCCATCAATGATTCTGTCAATCAGTTATTCAGACACCCATTCATTCCACATATTTATTGAGTGCCTACTATATGCCAAAGTGCTCCAGGCCAAATACACAGCCCGCAAGTGGACACCAGGCTTTCTAGATGAATCTGTACTTTTGATACCAAGGTGAATACTTACAGCACACCACAGCTGTACTAAGCCACCCTAAACTCTGAGAGACCCAGGTTCCAATTCTCATCAAGTCCCAACTCGCTGGGTAACTGAGCAAGTAACGTAACTTGCCCTTTTCCCCATGCCTCAATTTCTTGATCAGAGCGTGGGAGTGGGAGCTACCATTATTACTTTGCAAAATCCCCTGGCCGCAGTTCGGCCTGGTGCTACCGACCACCGCCTGGTGCTATTTCCGAAGCCGGCCAGGCCCTCCGCCGTTGACCCTGGAAATCAGGTCGCACTAGACAAGGCGGCATGTGCGGGGCGCGTCGTGGAGAGGGGGGTCCTTTGCGCGCGGCTGCTCGCGCTCCCCCAGGGCCTCGGAGAGTCTAAAAACTCACTTCGGAGGAAGGGAAGGAGCGTGAAGTGGCCCTTTTTCGATCGGAGACACCCCCTCCCGGAGAAGCCACCCCCTCCCCCAGCCCAGCGCGGAGTGAAATCTTAGAAGCCGCTGCAGGGCTGGGGCGGCGTGCGGAGTCGGTGGAAGCCGGAGCTGGTCGGCCCGAAGGTCAGCGAGTTGTTTTGAGTTCTCGTACCCGGAAGGGGGGGCAGGGAGGAGAGGACGCCGGGGCCCGAGAGACCCCGCGTCAGAGCCGAAATTGTTTGTGCTCCGGAACAGGCAGCTCAGCGGAAGCCGCGACGGGGGCGGGTCACGTGCGGCGGTGGCGGCGCAGCTGGCGGGGGAGCCGGGCTGGGACCGGGGCCGGGCCGGGCGGGGGTGGCGCGGGGCGGCGGCTCTCGCAGCCCAAGGTGGAACTGGAGTAGTCGGGGCGCTGGGAGCGAGCGGCGCCCCGAGCTCGGAGCGAGGGAGGCGCGCGAGTTCCGAGGGGCGGTGTGGGAGCCGCGCGCTCGGAGCTCCGCGCGGTGCGGCCCAGGAGGGACGGGGAGTCGCCGGGGGGAGGGGACGGAAGCGGGCCCCCCAGGCAAGAGTGGAATCCACGCGGAGGCTGCGCGGGCGTCTGCACCCCCAGAAGGGAGGCGCCGCTCTCGTAGTAGCCGGCCTTGTTTTCTTCTTGCACGCAAATCCCGGAACGACCGGAACCGCCATCCCTGCCTGTGTCCCAGGGGCGCCCCACTACGGATGGGGGAGGTGCGGGAGTCCCGCAGGGCTACTCCAGCAGGGACCCGCCGAGGCCGGGAAGGGCTGCCCGGGTGGCTCCGCGGGGTGCGGACCACAGCGGTGGTGCACCCAACCCATTCGCGCCCCCTTCTCCGGAAGAGCGCGCGAGGGAAGACCCGGACTGTCTCGGGGGGCCTCCGCAGGCGTGTGGGGGTCCGAGGGAGTGCAGTGCAGAAACCATCGGCCCCACGGTTTACACAGGGCTGGACTCGAGCCTGGCGGGGCTGGTCCCACGCTTCCCCAAAGTGGCGCGCACTACTCCAGCGTGGGAAGGAAAGGACACAAACTTGGCCATGTGCCAGAACACTTGGGGACGCCTGACTTTGGAGTCCCCTCATTCCCCCAGGGATCTGAAACGTACTCCCCACTTCCTGAGAGTCCATGAGGCTCAGGTCCAAGGCCTGGGAAGAGTGGGAGAGTGTGGGCTGGCCTGGTATGGGACACCCAGCCACGTTCCCCTCGCGGGGAAGGCGCGGAACAGTTGTCTTGCAAAGTTTCTCCCCCATCACCACCACCATCCGAGGAAGGGCGGCTCTTCCGGAGGTGAGGGCGGGGAAAAGGCCTCGGAGCCGGGAGTGGTGCAAGTTCCTGAAGCTGAGACCCGGGCGCGCCAAAGGGGCCTGGGTCACCAGCGCATTCGTAATCCCAGACTGCTGCACCTCGCTTCGCTGCAATGTCTGATCGGAGTCGCGGCAGCGGGTGCTGCGCAGAGTCTGGGACGCTTGGAGACGCCATTTGCATCCCCCCTCCCTCCTGCAGGTTGGCGGGGGCGGGGGTGTCGCCCGCCGCGGAAGCGTATTCCTGGCAGTGACACTGATTAGATGCTGTGTCGGTACGTGCACAGAATCGGGGTGGGCCTTCACCTCTCTTGTGCGCACACACTTTCTGTTGGAAAAAGTTGCGGGTTCCCCCCCTCCGCCCTCTCGCTGCACAGCTGCTGTCTCCAGGGCGGAATTAGGCGGGCACGTTTGCTCAGCCGGAGGGAGAGAGGATCGCGCCGGCGCGGGGAGGCCGCCGGGCCCAGGCCGCGAAAATCCAGCCCTGGCTTTGCGTCGAGCTGCTGAGTGCGGCGCTTACGCGCGCCCGGCCAGCCGAGGCCTGGTTTCCATCTGCCCCTTTTGCCTCCGTGTTAAGTGCGCCGGGGAAAACCCAACGAACCGTGCAGAACCCCTCGGAGGAGACCCACCCCCCCCCCCAGCCTGATCCTGACCGATGGAAAAAATGACAGTATAGGTCAGAGCAGGCTGCCCGCGAGTATTAATGCGGCCGCCTCCGTTCCCGGTGCTTGGGGAGGATGGGCGCCTCGCCAGGAAACCGCCGAAGGAGGAGCCATGAGGGCCGCCTGCCCCCTTCCAGGCTAGAAAACGTGGATTCTCAGAGGGACCAGACAAATGTGGTCGGACAGCTGCGGGAACTTACCCCAATTAAATACAGATTGCCCATGTATATTTCAAGCAGGATCAATCTTTTTTTCCCCCCAACCAAATGCACGTTGAGCAGTTAAAACAACAACAACAACACCGAGAACAGGTTAATCGGTAGATGCAACCCTTGCTCCCTTCTTGGTATTAAACATGTATGTAGGCGGTGCCGGGCTAAGCACCATTATTTTTGCATGGCCACTGTGTGCCCTGAGAAGGCAGGGTCCCCTTTGCGCTCCACCTTCGAGGACCTTTAATTAATAGAACTCGAAGAGGGGGTTATTTGAGTTGTAGTTTCTATTTGGAGGTTGTGTACTCCTGGCAAACTCCTGCCTGGGGTTGTTTGTACTTGGCTTTCATAGCCCACGTTTTTCTCTTGGCTTTTTCTTTTCCTGCCTACGTGCTGCAGGGTGCGGGGAGGAGGCTGCCGAGATGTGAGCTGCAGCCGCCCTCAGACTCTCACTTGCGCACCACGCGGCCTCCGAGGAGGGGAAATGTGAACTCTCCGGGTGGCGCTCGAGAACTGGAATTCGGATCTAGGACTGCGGACTTGTTTCGGAGGCTGGCCGGCCGCGGCTTGTGGGGGTCAGGGGCTGTAAAGGGGAAACCCCAGAGGTGACCCTGAGGCCTCTTGAGCAAACTGGAGGCGCCCGTGTTCTTTGTCTTTCTCAGGGTTGGACAGCCTGGCACTCGGTTCCGATAAGGATCTACTGAGAGCCAGAGCCGCACCGCCAGCACTTTTTAGTGATTAGGAGAACGCCGGTAGCGGTAGCCACACAAGGGAAGGGCCATTTGCGTTGTCTGTGAAAAGAAAAAGGCAGTCTCACCTAATGAATTATGGGTGACTTGGGAGAGGCCAGGCCGGGAGGGTGAGGCCCCCTTATGCCTATCTTTGCCCCGACGCTCCTCCCCATCTGCTGGAGATCCCATTTCAAAGGTAATGGAAAGCTTTTTGAAACTAGAAATTTGACCAATTCTGTTCACAGAAGCAGTATTTGCATCTGGGTGTCAGTAAAATGTGCTCACCAGCAGCAGCCCAGGGACAATGCCAGCCACCCGCCAGCACTGAAGCAAGTGTTAAACTCAGACCAAAGTACACCCCAGAGAACTTGACTTTTGGCCATCTTCTCCAAGAACCCAGTTACAGGAGATGGCAAATATCAAAAAGGGTGGCCTTGGAAGAGTAGGCTGAAGGTCCTGGAACCCAGTGTGGTTCCCTAAGGCTGCAGGGGGAGGGTTGTTGACGGTGCCCGATCCCTGAGGGAACTTGCCATTAATCCTGTCTAAAGGAGCACCACTTAAAAAGTACTCTCCTACATCACCGCGGCACACATTGGCCTTTAAGGGAAAGTCTGGCCCATTTTGCCTTAACTTTTCAGTGGGTGATAATAGTGGCCCTTCCTACCCTGGCTCCATATAGGTCTCCAGGAACTTGAACCCGGATGTGTTTCTTACTCCCTCCCCATCCAAAGGAAGGGAGTACCAAACCATAAAAACAAACACATGTAGCATTTTATTAGAGGCAGTGGTCCCAGCACTTTGTGTATTGAGGCATGTTATCCTCAGAACAACCCCAAGGTCCAGGACTCTTGAGCGGCTTGCTCAAAGCAGCAGTTTGGAACAGGCTCTGGATTGACCCAGAGCCATGTAGCTTCTTGGTGTCAGGCTGTGACAGTGAGCTATTTGGGGGATGTTTTAAGGGGACTGATTGGACCCTGACCTTCCAAAGGAAAATATCATGGGAAGAGACCAGAAGGCCCAATGTTTGGCAAAGCATTGTTCCGGAGTGGTACAGAAGCACATTACTGTGGCTCCGCGGTACAGAAGGGATCAGGGAAGCAATCTCAAGTTCCCTGGGCCCACGTAGCTAGCATCCAGAGGTCCCGTCTACGGGGTGACTAGGGGCTGGGGGCTGCCGGCTGCCGATTGCCGAGGAGCTCCTTATTGCCGGGTGTCAGTGGTCCCGTGCGGCCGAGCTAAACCGCCGCCTGCAGGGGCGGCTGGTTCACGCTGGTCTTTGGGCTCCGGGCGCATCCCCCGGGCTCCTCCCACGGAGCTGGCCGGGCCCAGTGGCGCCTCCTGAAGCTCCAGGTTCCTCTCTGCCTCAGCCGCCAGCCCCCCGGGGCTGGAAAGCCCGGCTGCTCAGTCTGGGTTGGGCCGCTCAACACCTTGCCTTCCCTAACCCCGTGCCCTGCCCCCGCGCGCCTGCGTAGACACACAGTGGGTCCAAGCGTGCAGCTGTTTCCAGGCCTCCGCTTTCCCTTCCTCTTCCCTGCTCTGACGCTTTGAAAGCCCGCGGCCGTTGTGTGCCTTGCCAGGAAGAGTCTGGGTGGAGGGGCCGCGTTTCCCCCCTCCCCCGCATCTGTGAACGCCCTGGCACCCTTGGGGTGCAGAGCCAGGCCTGTGGATCCCCATCGCCCGGAGAAGTGACGGCTGCTGGCGGGGACCTGTTCGCCCCGTGTTTCGCAGTGACCCGGGAGTCAGAGGGGAGGGCCGGGCCGCGGGGCCTGCGCGTGGATCAGGGGGCGGTCAATCCCCTCTCCCGCGAAGGCAGACTGGGCCTCCGGCCACGGCCAGTAGGAGTGTGCCCTGCACAGCTTGCACTGGCCGCAGCTTGACACCCTAGCGTGCCCCGGGCCAGTGTGCACGTCCCCACCCCCGCAAGCCTTTGCCGAGCTGGCGAAGACCCGTGGATCTGCGGCTGGGCAGTGCAGACGTCCCGCTGCTTCGGCCACCGCCCGCCTTAGGGGGCCAGGCTGGCCTGGGGGCTGGGTGGCCTAGGCGCACTTGCCCGCGTGGAGACAGGCTCCGGGAGCCCGGGCTGGCCGCCGAGGCGAGGGAGGGAGCGCTGCAGCCCGCGCGCCTCAAGGCAGAACACACGCCTTTCCCGGAACCTTGAAACCCAGGGGAGCCGCTGCCATCTTCGCGTGACGAGCAGCGAGACGCCGGTGATTAAGTGTTTCTTTCCGGCTCCCTCCCC